AACATGTAGAGGGAGGAAAGCTAATGCAAAAATACATATACTACATTAGTATATGTGCACCTGATAACTGTGCACAATGAATGTGGCCACCTTATAGACAGTTGATGACAATGAACCAGTTTAGGTAAAAATATTGGAAATGCCTCATTAATATTTCTTAAAAACTGCTTGTGAAATAATCAGCTGCAATGTCGCGAAACTGGCACATCCAGAACGGACAGAAGGGATATATATAAAGGCTCTCCAAAGAATGGGACCTTATTTCACAAATCTAGTATAAAAAAAAGTCACATTTACAATATATTCCATTTTGTTTAGAATATATAACATTAAAGTATTATATGTGAAAATTACTCTATTCACCCTGCTTATCATTTCAAGGTGTAATAGAAAAACTAGCTTTTCATCATAATGTCTTATACCTCCCATAAATAGAAGTATACTTTTTCACTTTTATTTGGCCCAAATTAATCTCATATTTATTGCAAATATTGTAATGTAATTATCATTCGATGGATCTGTTACCTACATACTGTAAAAATAGGGTTGGAGCAAAGTACTATACACTAGTGAAAATGACTGAATTTCCAACATGTTGTGTTGCCATGGTTATTTGTAGTGATTTTTATAGCACTAATATGGAGCAACATTTTAGTTATGTGTGTTTTTTGGAAGCCAGCTCTCCCCCATTGATATGCTAATGAACTTGACTGGTTTATGAGCTCAGCACAGGAAGCTCACTACAGGAAATGAGGTAGCAGGGAAAGGAGGACTTTGAACACGCCATGTGCTAAGGAACAAAGGACATAGTAGTTTTGAGACATTGGAGGAAACCAGGGGCGGACTGACAACTCATGGGGCCCCCGGGCAATAGGGGATCATGGGGCCCCTGTGTCCTCACCAACACCCAAAAAAGCTTATGAAAAAGCCAATGAATGGTACCAGGGGCATCTCATGGGGCCCCCTACTGACCCCGGACCCTCGGGCAGTGTCCGAGTGTTCGAATGGTCAGTCCGCCCATGGAGGAAACAGATGTTTTGTGCTGGACTCTAAAAAGCAAGAAGCCATGAAAAGATTACATCAACAGGAAACCCAAGTTAAGTAGCTGATTAGTATATTTATACCTATCACATACTGTACTTGGTCCATGCTTATTTGTTGGGAAGGATAGATACACTGAAGTTTGGGCATGTGTATATTGTATACATATTTTGTTATACTTTACATGCTATGAATTCTATGAAATCAATTCTGTTGCTTGTGCTGAGGAAAATGCTGCCTATGCTGTTTAGGAAAAGCAGAGCTACAGAGGTTTCTGGTGTCCAGGAGGATGACACCCTGAATACCTGGACCAGATACAGTAAGTGGATGTCTGTTGTAAAGGAGCTTCCTAAGTATGCTTCTCCTTTGAACACAGATTGGGGTGATGGAGTCTATGATTTTTTCCTCAGATTTTAGTCTTAGAAGTTTTGGGTTCACTAAGGGAGAGATGCGGACTGAGGCTGTGTACGGTTTGCACTTCCTGCATGCGCTACATATTGAATCTGAAAAGAGGAAAAAGACAGAGTTAGAGACTTACTGAAAGATCAGCATGCAGTGCCAACCAAGTGTTTGGAAGACAATGCAAGCAAGGTAAGGAATTTAGAAAGTGGGACACTCAAAGTCAAACCTGCAGAGGCTTCGAAGTGTGTTCTGACCACTGTAGGCAAACCTACAGATTTGCATGAGCAATGTGCACATTTATTTTTTGATAGGGCATCATTAAACTTGATCATGAGGATTGCACACCACTCATTAAAATCTTCAGGTTTTTCTACAGTGGTCAGAACAAACATCGAAGCCACTGCAAGTTTGACTTTGAGTTCCCTACTTTCTAAATCCCTTGTCTTTCTTGCAGTGTCTTCCAAATACTTGGTTACCACTGCAACCTGCTCTTTCAATGTCTGCATTTTTTTTCATTTCAGATTCAAGATGTAGAGTATGCAGGAAGTGTAAACCAGACATAGCCACTGCCCGCATCTCTCCCTTACTGAACGCAAAACTTTCAAGACTACAATGTGTGGAAAAGTCAGAGACTCCATCACCCCAAGCTCTGTTCAAAGGAAAATCATACCTAGGTAGCTCCTTTGCAACAGACATCCACTTACTGTCTCTGGCCCAGGTAGGCAGGGTGTAGTCCTCCTTCTGGACACCAGAAACCTCTGCAGCCTTAATGTTCTTAAACAACATAGGCAGCATTTTTCCCCAGGCACAAGCAACAGAACAGACCACAGAAAACAGCTCTGCTTCATTTGAACTTTAGCGCAAACCCAGCCACGAGCCCCCAGTTGTTTTGCTTGGTGTCTGTTGAGGTTACTTTGCAGTATAAACCAAGGAAGCAAATAAACTCTATAGAGTTAATATCTGCTTTACTAAACAATAAAGGCTGAATATACAACTGCAGGATAAACAATTCATAGCATACAAAGTATAACAATATATGCCTACAACATGCACAAGCTGACTATCTTCCTAGTAAATAAGCAGGTACAATGTATGTGATGAGCATAAACTAAACAATTACTTAACTTGGATTTTTCTTTATGATGGAGTCATCTTCTAGGATCCAGGATCTTTCAGGCTGCTTCCTGCTTCTCTGGAGTCCTCAGAAAAACTGTTTCCTTCTCTGTCTCCAGAACAATTGTGTCCTTTGTTCATTAGCACATAGTTTGTTCAAAAGTCCTCCTTCACTCCCCTTATCCCTGCTACCTCATTTCCTGTAGTGAGTTTCAGAAGCAGCCCAACAGGTTTGTTAGCATATCAACAGGGGAGGCCTAGCTTCAAAAACAGCATATGTAACAAAAATGTTACTCCATATTAGTGCTATAAATATCACTATAAATAGCCATAGCAATACACATTTCCGACTGCTTTCCTATCAGTTTACACCCCCCCCCCCCCAAAAAAAAAAAAAAACCCACAAAAAAAAACCCTGAAATTATGACTGCAGCATTATTTTGCTTTGAGGCCATATTCCCACCTAAGCATGTTTTTGTGCAACGATGAATGTTAAGTTAAGGCAGCCTGTTTACTTTTATTGGGTCCTCAATACATGAAAAAGCACCTTAGTACCTTCAGGCAACATAGTGCATCACAGTGCACAGAGCATTTGCATTTTTTTTGTTGAAGTGTGCTTGAACCATATGCATGATTGTATATACTGTTCATTTGCACAGAAGTTCCAATCAGAATGACTGCCAACACACATGTTGTGCATGTATACTGCATATAACTGTATGTTATTATGCAGTAGATTTTAACATATATTACTATGAACACATAACTATGCAACCGGCCTAAAGAATTAAGCCTTCCCCCGCAACCTGCCCCCCAAAGTATTTATATTAAAAGAAAAATACCCCAAGCTGCATTCTAGCTGGTCTGGTGACATCACTTCCTCTTCTTCCTCCAGCGGTGGTGGTAGGTGGCCATTCTTCCAGGTCTGAGTTCCTGTAAGTAACGCTTGGTCCTGGAGTACTGTGAGCCCAGCCTGCCCGATGGCATGTAAAGGACATCCTGGGCTCACAGGAATGAGCATAATGCCAGCACTGGACTGAGGAAGAAGTTGAGGAGAGCACAGGGGCGTGGAGAGGGTAAGCGGAGATTGGTACTATTTTTTTAAATGCGGAGGGGAACCAATAGAAATTGTTAGACCTGTGGATTTCAACCATAAGCAATATCAAGCCATCACTATTACCAAAACTTCAAAACCTAATTACAGGTCAGTCAATGTTTTTGTTTACTTCTTGACTATCAAATACTGTCAATTCGGCAGATAATGTTTCTCTAGAAATCTTCACAGGAATCTGCAATGTGTATAAAACTCATTGACGCGTACATGGAAACTGATGTAAACCAATTTCTCTGCAAGTGAATCTGCACATCAGTTTTCATCGGTTTTCATGCACGTATGGTAGGAACGAGCCCTAATAAACAAACTATGGTCAGTCTGTGTAATTTTTGAATTTTTGCTAATTCATAGATGGCTCTAGTTTTCTGCACAATAGATGGAAAGTGAAAGATTGCATTGTATGGTTCTTGGCATCCATGCATCTAACACATTGGTTTATATGTTGTTTAGATATACTTTTTAGGCCATCTCCAGCCAAAACTCATGATTTTAGTTTCAAACAGAATACAAGTGGCTTGTATCCTTCATTATTTTTTTATTGTTGTTGATGTCATCATTGGGGAGATTTCCTCTCACCTCCTGTCTCAGTGACTTCCTGTCACGCTTTGATGCTGAACTACAAACTGGTACTTGTATTAGTATTCATGTCTCTATTAGATACATTTTTCCCAACTTCCTGTTCCAGTGATAGGAAGTCAGAAAAAGGAAACAATTCATCCCGAGGGAGCTAGCAGCTTTACCGAGCAACTCATCTCTACCCTATTCAAAACTAAAATATGTTTGCCAGGAGTTCAGCTTTACATTCTAGGAGTGTACATCAATCCTGTTGTGTATCAGAATTTATCACGTTTTAATTACTTTAATGCACAATTTAGCATTTTATTGTTTATGTACTTGAATCTATAAATTTTCTTTTTGTTTGCAGATGATATTCTAACAATAAAGTCCCGGACAGAGGAGAACCAACTTCAAGAAAAATCTGAAATTTTATAAAAGAATGTTATATAGGGAAGATGTCTTTAGACTTTTCTAGAAGCCACATCTCTGGTTTCTACAAACATTTAGTAAGACCATCCAAAGATAATCTTCCAAAACCATGCACTTTGCTTCCTGACATAAATTGATTTCCACAATCTGCGCTCAATATAAAATATACTTCAGGTTATGCTTACCAAATGCTAACTGTTTGTAATCTATTGGACTTCAGAGAGCTCACCCCAAGCAGTCTCTATGTACAAAATGATTAAGGTAATCACCAGAACATCACACAAGATGAAGAGAACTGTGTAAATGAATAATAAGATTACGGAAATAAAGAGCTGGGAATGATATGCCATCTTTGCACAAAGAATACCTGACCCTGGTGCCCCCGTCTGTAAATCTGCAGTGCGTGTTTGGGGGTTCGTGCCCCTCTGTATGGCAGAATAAGATGGTTATGTCTCAGGGCACATACACTTTTCTCAGTTGTTTCGCTGGTTTCTGGCTTATCTGGGGACTCATAGTACTGCTGTGTTGCCTGTGCAGTTTTCTAAGACGCCGCATGAAGAGACGTAGAGAAGAAAGGCTGCGGGAGCAGAGTCTACGTTCTGTACACATTGAACCACTTCAGTATGAGGAGTATGTCAGCAGCAGCCCTCGCATCCCTGTGGCACATCGGATTCGGGCACAGCAGGCAGCCCAACCACCACCACAACAACCAGCAGCAGCACAAGCTCGACCATGGTCTGCAACACGCAGGAATGGTAAGTGGGAGCAACCCACTCATAGCTATTGCCATCACTACTATAATTGGCCAAATGCCAAACTTTTATTTTTACATAAAATGGGGAAGATTACAACTACTGTCAGGTTTTTATTACTGTCTGTAAGTTTTTTTTTTTTATAACTTTCTGTCTTCTTGTTGATTGGACAGGAAGTGGATAGAAATCTCACCATCAGAGACACACAATTCAATAAAATGGAAAAGTGTATCAAATACTTACCATAATTTTGTTTTCCAGGAACCAATCAATGGCAGCATACTACCACATGTATACTGCCATATTGGTGCCAGGTAAAAATCTTTTTTGAAAAATGGAGAGCTCTGCCTTCTTCAGTGGTATGTGTGTCAACCAGGGGCGGACTGACCATTCGAGCTCTCAGGCACTGCCCGAGGGCCCAGGGTCAGTAGGGGGCCCAATGAAATGCCCCTGGTACTTTTTATAGGCTTTTTTGGGTGTGCTTTGAGTGTGGGCAAGGACATAGGGGCCCCATGATCCTCTATTGCCCGGGGGCCCCATGATTTGTCAGTCCACCCCTGGTGTCAACATTAGTGAGATTTTCCATGATAGGGTGTCATTGGGACGGGAAGGTAACAAAGAGGGTTTAACTCTTCCCACTCTATGCAAAACTGAAAAAGAAAACAGTTTGGGCTGATACACCTACCAGCCTTTAACACAAAAATAAAAACATTAGTCCTTCTCCATTCAACCAAACTCTGCCCTTAGGCTAGATAGCAACAAGTTACACCAAGGATGAACTGAGAAACGTTTGTTCTTGCAGGTTGATGCAGCCAATTAGCCCTTTTATGGTACAGACAGAGTAATAAAGGGAAAAAAGCTTAAACAGAGCTATGTGTTGCCAATATCCCTCCATAGCTACAATACACATTAATAATTAAAACTCATGGAGCTTTATGTAAAAATCTTTATGTAAAAATTAACAATTTCTTTATTTCTGCATCATAAAACATATGTCTTTAAAAACACTTTATTACTGATATACTGTATAGTAGATCATAAAAACAACAAAATACTTCTACATGACAGCAAAGCTCAACTGCTACACAGTTGAGGATCTTGCATATTTGCAGGTACGGTATTATTATTTTGATATTTTCCTCACAGCTGGCCAAACCCAGTGCATTTTAGATTAAAAAAGAAACTATCAACATACCGAGACAATACCTGCATCTTATAGTCACAAAGGAAGGTGGCGCAGTACGCAAATAGCTATATAATGCCCAGCATGTGACAACAGCAAAAATATACTTTATTAGTACTGGCCGAGGGGACAGTTGACTCCAAGTCCAGGTCTTCACTGGGGCATGCCTACTTTGACAAGAACCAAAAAAATGGGAATCTTGGGGGAAGAAGGCTGATCTGAGGTCAAATTCAAATGCTCGACACTGTCACTAGCAGGGGCAGACTGACTGTTCGAGGACTTGGGCACTGCCTGAGGGTCCGGGGTGAGTAGGGGGCCCCATGAGATGCCCCTGGTACCTTTCATTGGCTTTTTCATAGGCTTTTTTGGGTGTGGGTGAGGACACAGGGGCCCCATGATCCCCTATTGCCCGGGGGCCCCATGAATTGTCAGTCCGCCCCTGGTCACTAGTGATCTTGCTGCTTACAATTTGTATACAGTATGTAGCACGTTCAGGTCTTATTCCCCAGCTAGTGACAGGACTGTGAAGGGTGAAGCAGATGAGCTCATCTGTCTGTCACTGTTCTCTCCTCTTACTAGCATGCTCTTTGAAATACAGCATAAGGGATTGTCTCCTTGTGCCCTTCCCCACCCTCCCATACCCAATCTACACTCTATCAAAAATTCAGTGGAAGAAGTTAATACCAAGATAAATTCGGGTACTTACTCTGTTTGAAATAAAGATGCATTAAAGCGGAGTTCCAGTCACACTGTGAAAAAGCTACACTTGGGCTTACCATGCGGCGTTGCTCAGGGATTCCCTGCAGCGCTTACCTTGTCCTTCGCTCCCGTGATGCGTCCCCTGCCGCGTCCCCGGCCATCTCCTCCGGCCGATGCTGGCATCCGGCTTCTGTGTTCCGGTCCCTGTGAGTGTCGGGATGTACGGTGGCCGGAACGGCGGCAAATTTAAAAATTTTTAGAAACTGTCATTTTCTTAGAAATGAATTTGACATAGTAAAACATTACTTTATCAAACCATTTCACATACCGTATACGTATGCTTTATCGAGACATCATGGGACTATTTAGACCCTTAGGGGTTTATTTACTAAAGCTGGAGAGTCCAAAATCAGACTCCCTTCTGCATAGAAACCAATCAGCTTCTAACCTCAGCTTGTTCAATGAAGCTTTGGCAATGAAACCTGGAAGCTGATTGGTTTCTATGCAGAAGGGAGTCTGATTTTGGACTCTCCAGCTTTAGTAAATAAACCCCTTAATGTCACTTCTTCCCTACATTGCAGGTAATCAACGCAGATCATACTTGATTAGCTGCTTCCCTGACTTCAAGAGCCAGGGTGGGGATGTGAAGAAAATGTGTAGGTAAAACTGAAACTGAACCAGAGAAAGATCAGTCCCCACCTAGCAGGACTGTGCTGTGTGAGGTTTTGTTCACATATTGTGTATCGGGGACAAATGTCCCCACTCCTGATTTTTGTTGCACAATTTTCACACGATTCCACATGCCACGCATAGGGTAGCTCATTCACTTTAATGGGCTTTCCTGTGAGTGCTTATAAACCAAAAGAAGCTCCTTTTGTGGGTGATGACAAGGTAAGCATGATTTGCAAACGCTCATTTTGCTATGATTGCCAGCAGAATTTCACATCATTTTGTCATTAAGAATAATGGCACCCAATAGCATGCTGCGTGTTTTGTGAGGATTTGGAATTGTGGGCAGAATTTTAGTTATTCTGCCCACGATTCCAAATTGCCAATTGTGCACTGACAGAGTTGTGTAAAACTCTGTCCTCTACAGAGAGAAATACAAATTCTTTGGCAGGTAACACAGCTCTTGTATATGTATTTTGTCTATGTATGTATTGTTTTCATTATAAAGCTGAAGTCAAGAACATGAGGGCATTACCTCAAACTAGGGTTAGAACAAAATATCCTTTGATCTTGCCATTAATGCAGTTTCCTTATCACTTCCTGTGAGCTCAACTGCAAGCAAAACAATGTTATCTTTCTTCTGCAAATTAATAATCTTCTCATTTCCCATGTAATGAAGATAAACAAAGGCAGACATATTTGTCCATGGACCTCTTGATCTTTTTCTGCCATCAAGCTTATATGCTTCTAAGAAAATGTGGTTAATAGAGAGAGACCTTTACAATGGATTTGTGTATGCATGTCTAGCAGATCTGTCAAGCTTCCCTTAAAACAACATTGTTAGATGCAAATCTTACCATATTTTGACACCATACACCTGCATCCAACAATCCAGTTCAAAGAAGGGATTTTTGAGTGAGTACAGAGAATAAACGTAATTCTTGTTTTCAAATGCTCACCCTTTCCCAGATAAATTAGACCACTATCTCTGTTCACTTCTTGACAAGCACAGTTCTCAGCCTTATCAAATTTTTATCAAACTGGAAATTGTTACATGAAATATCTTCGAGTCTTTCAAAATGGACACAATTCTGCTAGTAATACAAAGACCCAGGCTGCACTCTATGCTTATCAACCACGTCTCAAATTGAAAGTATAAGCTCCAACTACATTCCCCGTTCATTGACTATGCTGTGCTGATGTGATTCATGCTGACTGGGCTTAATCATAAAGCCCAATTTAGGTGAAACAGAATTAAGGGCATGTCCAATGGGCAGGGAGGGACTTTAGCTGAAGCTTGTACTTTCACTTTGAGATGTGATTGATACACGCAGAGTACAGCCTGGGCTTTGTATTGCTGTGAATGGATGGAGTAAGTTGTGTTTCTTGAGATACTAGCACTTGGAGCAGAGAAAGCCAGTGGGCTGATATGTAGGATGCTTTGAGCTGTGCCATATCTATCAAACATTGTAGCAGTATTACTAGTAGTTAGTCACATTCAACTGGACTTTTTATCTACTTTTGAAGATGTTGTGTAGCACCAACACATCTTCAGTTCCAGTGCATGTCAGGAAGATACTCCAACATTTATATTGAAAATTTAGGACACCTTGAAGCAATGGATGTGAAGATGTTGATTGTCCAAGTACAAGATGGGATATCCTGCACGATCAACATCTACATATCCCATGGTGATTGGATTAACCACTTCTTCTTTTTTTTTTAAACAATTGGCTTTTATTCAGACAAAAAGCAGAACATATGAACAGAAATGAACTGCAAGGAGGCATGATATAATATCATATCATGTTGTACACAATTATACAAATTAGATTTGGAGCAAACTCAGTAGCATAATCACAACATTATTCTGCAGAAAGCGTTCATATATTACAACGTTTACAATTTGCAGATACAAATGTCAAGGCAGATATAAAGGAGTGTATGAACAGAAGAAATGAAAAGCTAGTAGAGAAAGCATGAGAACAATAATAGTAAGGGCAGGGCCATCTCTGCGAGAGGTGTCAAGAATTTACAGGCATGGCCCACACGTCCAGGAGAGAAAAAGAGCTATTCGCCCATCATCCCCTTATACTTTCTGAAAAAGTGAAAGCATCCAACAGGACCACAATTTGTGGATTTCTTGTACGATTTCAGGGAACACTCAGAAATATGAAGGAGGCAACATTCCGGGGTTAATGGCAATGCAGTCCCCATAATAGAGTAGATGAGCTCTCAAACATCATCCCAAAATGGCTTAAGCCATGGGCATTGAAACCAAATATGAAACAAGGATCCCTCAGCTGACTCACAGCACCAGCATAGGCCTGATGTCTGGGGGAACCACCTATTTAACCTGTTCGGCGTAGCATACCAATGCGTTGACAATTTGTAGGAGGTTTCTTGAGTCCTGGTGCTAAAGGAGTATTTGTGAGCAAAGATGCAAGCTTTT